CCAGTGCTTCAGCGACGAATTGCCACAAAGCTCCAGCACAGCACTCGGGCTGTTTGCAAGCAAGAGCGGAATGATTGTGGCGAAGCGCATGTGCACGGTAAGTTCTTGAGCGGAAGGACACAGTCTCGCAAGCTTCCGAAGACCGCCATCACCCGTCAGCACAACCTGCAGCTCTGCACGCGGAAGCTGCGAGTGAGGCCGCGATTGTCCGCGAGGAGACTACGCCCGAATCTTGTGTTGGCATGTGGCTGAAGATCGCGCGAGGCTCCCTTTCACTAGACGTGTTTCGGTTCGCTCCAACAGCTGTTACTGGAGTGCTTGCAGTGCTAGTTTCCTCGTGTCGCTTATAGATTATTAGCAGGAGAATTCTGCGCAGAGAGCTTGCATTGCAGCTGCATAAGCCCAGGCATCACCTAAGATTAAAACTGCGATGCCGTCGCTTTCACAGTTTGTATAGACCGAGAACCCGGGCAGCAATTGACTAGTGACCAGTGGTGTGATATGACTTCTCCATATAACGTCCTAACGCACTGAGATCCTTGACACCGGGGCAGAAAGCGGCTCCGAGACAGCGAGACTTGTTGAGGTTTGTTTGCTCCTTGCAAGCCAGGGCCGGGACTTCACCGTAAAAGGCGGGGATGAGAGCCGTGAGAGCATCTTTGACGCTCTCCTCTGCTCCTTGGGCTCCCGTTTCCATTTCCCCCATCCTTCGGAAGCTCAAAGAGCAGTGCCTGGGACTTTTTCCGTTTCGATCACGAAGAGCCAGCGGAAGCTGCCGCCAACGCACCGATAGCACCGCTTCTGACGCCGATTTCCTTCTACCGGGGCCGGAGCCTCGCCCCAGAGCTGCGTTGACGGTGTCGACACCTGGCCCCAGAGCTTACGGCGATGGCTGCGGTCTTGCTGCACCGATACGACACTCGGTCTGACTATTCGAAGGCGGCTCGTCCGCAGAGCCCGTTGCCTTTTGTGTCCATGCTTCTGGCTACCCTGGTGTTTCGTATGACAACACGCCGGCGGCCAACATCCAGCTGGTTGAGTCTTGTTTCCGGGGTGACCGGAACGACATGCCGTGTGCCCACGCCCTCGGCCCGAGACCTGCAAGAGGATTCCGGAGTGCTCCCTGCGTGGGGTTTTCTTCTCGCACCCCTGACCATGGCCCTGGCCAAGTTGCAGACGCGGAAATGCGCGCCGAAGCTTCGACGACTCGGGGCGGGGAATCCCAGGGGCCTTTTCCGCAGTTTCCAGGCTTCAGTTCAAGGCTTCAAGGCCCACTCCCGCGGCTCACAGCACGGGGCTCCCCTTGTAGTCGTTGTAGCGTCGTAGCTCGAGAGTCTTCTGAGGGCCTGTGGTCTTCTTTGGATCTGGAGCTGACGTCGATGCTCCCGTTCTCGGCAACACTAAATGTTGGGTAGTGCTATGGCCATATCCCTACACTCGAAAGCCCTGACAAGCTCTACATCCTTGAGCCTGAAGCCGTGAACCCTAAACGCCCCTAGTTTAAGGCCAGTAGCTCCTTTGCAGAAGCGAAAGCGGGGGGCGGGTCTTCCTGGTTCAAGGCAGAGGCTGCGAAGTAAAGTGAGAACGCCAAGCCGTTCTTGCCTCCGCTTCTTCCGACCTCGCAGTCGGCTTCACCCCAGCCGCTCATGGCAGAGGCGCCAACGTTGTCAGGTTGTGTAAGGACGAACGAGACGGTCGGCACGAAGGCGAACTTCGAGTTCTTGCTGGCCAAAGGAGACGGGCATGCTCTGCATGTGGGGTTCGCACAGGGGAGAGTGGCCGGCCGCCGGGCGCTGGGCCGGGTGGGCAGGAGAGAACGTGTGCAGTTGAAACCACGCCGCTAAGACTCTGGGCCCCTCAGCATTAAGCTATGCACCGCGCCGGGCCTGGGCGAAGTGTTCCTGCTCTTGCCGGACAGATACAGAGCGACTGGGGTGAGAAGCGTTAGAGGGCGACAAATGCTCCCAGGTCTGTAGACGTTCCTTTGCTGGTCTTGGTCCACATTTGCCACGCCGGAGGGTCTCAGAATTCTCCAACCCAGAAGCTGACCAAGCCATGGTTATCCAAAGGAGGCGCCAGAAAAGCTCGCAGCAACTTTCGTGTACCCTGTACAGGAGATGTAGGAAGTAGACTTAGATCACATCGTCGCAGGCAGAGCTGCAGAGCCCTGCTTCAAAATGGTCACATCGACCTTCGCTTTTAAAGAGAAAGCCCGGAACGCATGAAAGAGATTTTGGACCGAGACTTGCTTTCGTCGCAGCTGGGGACTCAGCACTGCTGCAATCGGTGTTGATTGCGCATGCGGTCTGCCAGGGTCTTGCAACAGCACAGCACCAAATTATACCAGTTTTTCTGGCCCTGACACGGAATTGAAGTCATCCAGCCACCTTCGCCTGCAGCTTAGTTGCATCTGGCCGCCTGAAAACCACAGCCAAGCCGGAAAGCACTTGGCTTCAGGCCGACGCGGCTGTCTCTGTGGTCGACAAAGCCATGTGCTTCAGGATTCGGAAGCCTGCAGAGCATGCGGCCACGTCTTCGCCGTGCAAGACCCCCCAGTCGCAGGGTTTAAGGTTTAGGGCTTTGGGGGTCCAATCAAGCCTGTGTAAAAAGGGTTTGGGGGTTGAGCTGCTTTTGCCGGCACCCGCAGCTTGAGATCCGCTTGAGGGTCCTCCGACCAGTGCCAAGCAACAAGCAGGCTGCAATGGCCGTGTGCGTGAGGATTTCTCGGAGGCTGCACTCAAAGCGCCCCGCAGCCCTCACCCGGAGCCGCGTGAAGCAAACTGCGCGAAGCAGCCGTTGAGAGCATTTTTGCCGCGGCCTCTTTTCAAATGCCTTGCGAGACCTGCGCCTTGGCTTTGCGGCCTGCATCCGTAGATGAGACATCGAGTGCGCCTTCCGGATTCCTCTTCCTGCCTACTAATTAAGCGGCTTCTTCCTCTGACAGGGGGCCTGAGCCGCTGCACCGGCTGAGGGCCGTCAGGGGCCGTCACAAAAGGGTTTTTCGGCAGCCGCCTTTGAGGCACTGAGCGGCGGGCTTCTGGGGCGCATACGGAAACCAAACCCTGGGCCCTGGCCCTGGGTTCAGGGTTTTGTTGCCTTGCGGCGTGCGCTGAGCTGAAACGGCTCCAACACCGACCTTTCTCCCCGTTCTCGGCCGGTCCCGGCTTCCAAAAAGGTCTGTGAGGCATCCCAGCGCTTCTCGTAGCCTCCCGGGCTTCCTGCTCGGAGAGTTTCTTCATGAGCTGCTCGGGCTCCTATGTAGCCTGCGGCAGCCTGCGAGGCAGGGTCCTTTCCTGCGCCGAACCCCCGCCTTAACTTAAGCTAACAAGAGGCTCCACTTGTCAGCTTCTGCCGAGCTCTTCGATCTTGTGTCCGCGACCCTGTGCCAACGGGGACTAAGAGCCCTGCTCGTGAACGCCTCGCACGAGGTGGAGCTTGTCACAAGCCGCTGAGGCTGGGCCCAGATCTTGGCTGAAAGGTACTCTCACACTTGAACTGACCACTTCGGCTTTGGTACTTCGATCGCGTTGGAAGTGGGATTTAGGGTATGTCGAGGCTTGTCGCGGTCTTACGTTTGTGCCTTGTGCTTACCTTGTGCATCGTCCCCCCTCTGCTAGGACTTGTTTGAGAGCTTTGGCGCTGCAGCCTTTCTTCGTGCAGGCCGTCAGCTGAACAGGGAGACCTCGGAGTTACTCCGAGTTACTCCCGTAGATTGCGACGCCCCGCCGTGAGCTGACTTCACCTGAAGGGAGCTGTGAGATCTGGTGCAGCTCGGCTTCGTTTAACAACTCGCCATACCTAATCCCTAAGCGTGATTTAGCCTACAATAAGCAATGTAGTGCGGTGCTTCTTGGGCTCTCAGCGGCTTCCTGTGCCTGCCCCCACGATGCGCCTCTGGGACCGGCCGTCAATCGCGTTGCACACCTTGAGATCCTGGTTTGACTCGATTTATTCCCAGCTCCCACCCACCCACCCAAGTCTTGCATGCCGGAAGCCGGCTTCGCAAAATCTAACGCAGCCGCAGCGCTTCAATCCCAAACCCCTCTTGAGCCCTTCCTTCACCCACCGCTCCCACACCCAACCCCAGCACTTCATTAATTGCCGAGAGGGAGGGCGCAAAGCCACAGAAATGAGCACCAAGATTGACATCTTGGCGGCATTGCGCTGTTGCAGGTTACCAAAAAGGAGCTCAAAATGTGATTGTCGGAAGGTTAACTGCCCTTAATCAAGGACCGCTTTGTTTGAGATCTTGATTGTGGGCTCCTTGTTGTCTGTCTCATGTTCTTGGGGCTTGGCTGAGTGAAAGGTGGCGTCGAGCATATGCAGGGCTGCGTAGTCGTTTCACAGGGGTACACCTACATGACTCACAGCAAAATTGTTCAGCATCCGGCTTCTCTTGAATGATGCTCGCATGGGTGGGGGTTTGGATGGTTTGGACTTTGGACCTCGACTTTTCCTACTGCAGCAGCCCCTAGCAAAAGACCTCAGACAGGCAGACCCTGCGCAGTTCAGGTTCATTACGTACTTACTGTGACTTACAGTACAAGTGCGTGCCAGGCATGAGAAAGTGCGCGCTTTCAGTCTTGCGGGGTTTCGAAGAAGGGGTAAGTATCTATAAGGTGGATTTCGCTACCTCACTGCAGGTCACATGTATCTCCCGAGGAGTGCCAGCAACCCCGAAGTCAGCCCCAGAATGAATTTCGCGGTGCCTTTGTCGACCCAGGAAGGTTCAGCTGGAGTCTAATTAGGCTGCTCACACATCGCCGCATTGCTTTAAAGGGATTTTGGTGGATGGGACAAAGCAAGGGAGGTCGAGTGATGCTTTATGTCGTGTCAAAGCACAGGGCCCTTGAGTAGAAGCTTTTCGAGAAGTGAGGGGGGCATCTCATGGGTGCCGGTAACTTCAGAGAGTGCTACCAAGCCTTGTAGCCTCAAGCAACCATGGTGTTAGAGTAGCTGCATGTACTATCTAATCTAGTCTGAGGCCATGCGTCCAGATGTGGCTTTTGGCCGGATTTGGTATGATGGCTTTGGCTGCAGGTGAGACATACCGTGGTGTCACCAATGTTGTGTTTGACGATGTCAACCAAGCTTTTGGGATCCTTGCCGGGCACATAAGTTGGACACCTCCATCCGACATGACAGATGTTGACGGTTACCGGTTTCTGATCACGACTAATGCTGACGGCGGCATTGTCTATGGTGGGACTCCGGATCTATCGAGGCTGAGAGAACTGGAGCATCCAGGCCTTGGAGGAGTTCTTCCTCGTACCTACACCAACTTCACGCTTGCAGAGACTCTCCGCCAGGCAATAACTTATGCCCCTGACATCACGCCCCCACGCTACTTGCAAGTTTACACCATCATCGATGGACAGTGGCAATACGCTTCGGAGCTTGCCCCTTCTGCCATCATCCCGATCTATGACCGCGGCGGGAACTTCTCCACCCTCCCGTTTGAGACCCAGCACGTGGTATTTGCAGATGCAGATCCTCGCTGTGGGTACGTTGGAGGAGGCCTTTCGTTCGTGGTCCCCTCCGATGCTGACTTCACTTACATCAGCTCCTGGAGAGTTTATTTTGCAGAGGATCCCATGGGCACGAATCCGACATCCACCGTAGAGCTGCCGTTTGCGCTCAGCAACTTCTTCAATGTCTCTGACTACATCGGCTCTCGGTCAGTCTTAATTATTGCCGGCGCCACTGACACTGGAGACATCACGCTGTCCATAGCCATAGACGACGCATGCAGTAACACGACAATCACTACAAGCTCCTCCCCTGGCTCCTCCCTTCCCCTCCCTGGCAACACATCCGTCGGAGAGACCGGGGCCCAGCTCACCTCAGTTGGCTCTTAAGGTCCTATCTTTTTCTTTCGTCTCTCTGTTTAGACACCTTAGGACGAGCTCCTGGCTGCCGAGGTCAAACGCGACGATAGCCGCCGTTCCCCAGGCGAAGAAGTTGCCATTCGTTTTCCGAGCTGCTCCGCTGTCACTGCAGGTTGGGTGGCTCTTGGCCTCTGGAGTTGCTCCGCCTGAGCGGAACAGCCATGCGTCTGCCCTGGATGATGGCCGCTTCTGGGTTTTCGGAGGCCAATTGGCTACTGCTTTCATGTGTTCGATGCTCATAAATGCTCATGTCTCATGTGTAATCTTGTCGGAGGAGCCGATTACGAGGGCAGGGAGAAGAGTGACCTCTGGCACTACACGGTTGAGGCGGTGGTCATAGGGTGCCCCCCAAAAGGAGGGACGGAAGAGGGACGGCTGCGGGTCAGGCCGCCTGGACGTTGGTCGATGAGGGCTCCGGGCCCTCCGCGCGTTCGTTGCACTCCGCTGCCGCGGCCGCAGGGCGCTTCTGGATCTTCGGAGGCAGAAGTTGCGCTGTCTCAGCGCATCTCGCCATCCCGGCGTGGGATTTGCAGTTTGTGGGCAGGTACTCAATTTTCCACAGGGCTTGTTCTGGGCGACCTTTGGTACTTTGAGGGCGAGGCGCGGCGAGGCAGCGGAGTCTGAAAAGAGACCGCTGTGTCGTGTGCAGGCCTGGGTGCAGGCGGATGCGGGGTCTGGGCCGTCCCCGCGCTTCAGCCACTACTCAGCCATGGCTCCGAACCGCCTCTGGGTCTTCGGAGGCGGAGGCGCGGAGCGAACTCGACTCGGAGGTCTGCGAAGTGTCGCGCAAGCGACGCCCGTGCAGGAAGTGACTTCAGTGTTCTGAGTGACCTCTGGCACTTCACTCCGGATGCCGAGAGCTGAGCCTGCCACGAGTTTTCGCAGCCGGAGTACAGTGTGCAACGTCTAAAGGCGCCGTCAGCTTTCTCAGGTGGGCTGGACGAGCCTCCCAGGTTCGGAGACCTGGCCGTCGCCGCGCTATTACGGTGCCGCGGAAGCGGACTCTTCCGGGCGTTTCTGGATCTTCGGAGGCCGCCCGGAGAAAAAAAAGCCGGGGGCCAAACACCTTTGTCTTGAAAGCTTTCCAGGAGCGAACGCTGGCCATCATCACTTCAATGACCTGTGGCACTTCACGGTTGAGGCGAGGTCCCTGGGCCAGTGTGGAACAGACTGAACCCCATTAGGTTAGGATGTCTCAAAGGCGGGCTGGACTCTGGTGGATGCTGGCTCCGGCTTCGCACCCTCCGCACGAGGAGGCTGCAGTTCTGCCATGGATGCGGCGGGACGCTTCTGGCTTTTCGGAGGCCAAACGGTGTAAACGGTGAAACGGTGTAAACGGTGAAGCTGTCCGATCGATGTGCATGGCATGCACCCCTTTCAGGCTATGATGCTGATGCGTTTTTCGAGGATCTCTGGTACTTCATGGAGGTGGGCAGTGATTCAGGCCCCCGGTAGCATGTAGTCAGGTGTCTCTGCTTCGCGAGGCCTGGTTCTGGGCGGACAGCCCTGGCCTTTGGCCTGGTGCACGGACTTTGCATTCCTCGGCCATGGACGCTTTGGGCCGCTTCTGGCTCTTCGGAGGCCGGTTCAGAAGAGAAACATGCACTACGCACTACGCTTCACTACACACAAGTCGAGTTGTCAAGTGGTTGTTGCGGTGCGGTTCTGCCGGCAGGCACCAACGGGACCAACTTCGGCTCCTGCTGCACCATGAACGACTTGTGGTACTTCGGTCCCGAGGCGTGGTGGCCTTTCGGTGAGCAACGTACCCGAACATTACGGTGGCGTACAACACAGATCCAGAGCTCCGCCACGACCATCACGACAACTACCAGTCTGCCAGCTCCCAAGCAGTTGAGTAAGCGTAGCTGGGGGAGTGTGAGATGAATGTTCAAAGGAAAATTCAAAGTCGCGCCGATTGTACGAGCTGAGCACGCTGATGCAGGGAAGCAGCCCCAAGCAACTTTGAGCAGAGGTCCAGCACGACTTGGGTAGACG